CCGCGGGGGGAGCCTGGCTGGAGCCCCCCAGGAGGGAGGAGGGAGGAAGCGCCCCCCCAACTCCCCCCCCGCCCTGCCCAGGGAGAGACCCCCAGTATGGGGAGGGGGGAGGGAGGGAGGGAGGGGCGGAGACGCAGCCCCGGGAGACCCTCAGCTCCGCCGGCCTGGATGCGGGGGGGGGCGAGGGGGGAGAAGACTTAAAGGGGGGCCCCTTGCCGAGAAAGAACCTTCGCTACTGCGCAGGCGCCATATGGCTCATGGATGGAAGGAAGAAGGACGCCGATTGGTCGCTTTGGGGAGTGCAGCGATTGGCAGGAGGACTCCTCGGGGCGGGTCCATTCAAAGGAAAGAGGAAGAGCTACCGGTAACAGGCAAAGGGCTCGCAGCGAAGTCCCGCCTCCACTTCCGGAAACGAATACAACTTAGGCGCCTAACTGATTCGGCCGCGGGCTGGCTCGCAATCCAGGTAGGGCGCAGGGGATGCTGGGAGTCGCAGTCCGAGAGGCTCTCTGGCGGAGAAGGGAACCCCGGGAAGGAGGGGGGAGCCCGAGGCCTGGTCTGGCGGGACGGGCGCTGGGAGGGAGGCCTGCCCGGAAAGTCTCCCTGAGAGGCGCCATATGATGATGGATCGGGGGAAGCGGGGCGTAGATTGGGCGCTCTGGGCAGGGCAGCGATTGGCAGGAGGACTTTTCAGGGCGGTCCATTGAAAGGAAACAGAAAGAGCAGCCAGGAACAGACCTCGCAGGGAAGTCCCGCCTCCACTTCCGGAAACGAATAGAACTGAAGCGCCCTGATTGATTCATCCACGGGCGGGCTCGGATCCAGGTGGGGCGCAAGGGATGCTGGGAGTCGCAGTCCGAGAGGCTCTCTGGCGGGGAAGGGAGGGAGGGAGGAGTGGGGAGGCGAGGCCTGGTCTGGCGGGACGGGCGCTGGGAGGGAGGCCTGCCCGGAAAGTCTCACTGACAGGCGGAGGCTTCGGCCTTTCTCCCCGTGCGGGCCTGGGACTCCCCTCCGGGGAAGGGACGAAGCCGTGACCGCCTCTCCTCCTCCCCCTTCGCCCCTGCAGGAGGACGGGCGAGCCCGGCGGAGGAAGGAAGGAAGGAGGAAGGAGGAAGGAAGGAAGGAAGGAAGGAAGGAGGCGCCGCCCGAGAGGAGAGGAGGCCCCCCAGAGCAGCCCATGAGCCGAAGGGGACTCCAGGAAAGGAGGCCGCCTGGAGGGAGAAGCGGGGAGCAGGAAACGGGCGGAGACCCCGAGACGGGCCTGGAGGGTGGAGAGTCCTTCAGAAGAGGGGGAAGACTCCGGAATCCCCACAGAATCCAGGAGGGAGGAGAGAAACATCAGTGCCCGGAATGTAGAAAATCCTTCAAAATAAAAGGAAATCTTGTAAACCATCTAAGAACCCATTCAGGAGAGAAACCGCATAAATGTCTGGAGTGTGGAAAGAGCTTCAGTCAGAGGGGAAACCTTTATACACATCAAAGGATCCACTCAGGAGAAAAACCACATAAATGCCTGGAGTGTGGAAAGAGCTTCAGTGAGAGGGGAAACCTTTATACACATCAAAGGATCCACTCAGGAGAGAAACCGCATAAATGCCTGGAGTGTGGAAAGAGCTTCAGTGAGAGGGGAAACCTTTATACACATCAAAGGATCCACTCAGGAGAGAAACCGCATAAATGCCTGGAGTGTGGAAACAGCTTCAGTACGAGAGGAAGCCTTTATAGACATCAAAGGATCCACTCTGGAGAGAAACAGAATAAATGCCTGGAGTGTGGAAAGAGTTCCAGTCACAGGAGCAGCC